AGATATCTGTACATACTTGGGATATAAAGAAAAGTGTCTAAGGATAATCACAGTATGTATGAGCATATACAACCAACTATGCGCTGAATCTGACTAATGTGGTGGCATGTCATGTGACTGGGTTTGCAGGATGGACTTGGCCCTCCTATGGGGTTCAAATAGTAGCTGACTTCACTCAGAGTTCAGTGAACTCACTGAACTCTGAGTGAAGTTCAGTGACTATGTTTATTTTTATTGTGAGTAAACTCACAGTCACAAGAAATACAGTAAAATTTAGGGACTGGCAAAAATACATGGACAGATTGCACGAATAAACTTTGTTCACAGGCTTATATTCAGGTTATTAGGTCAGATCTATAGGCCTCTAACTTCCTTTAAGAGACTGAATATTGTCATTACTTGAGTTATTTCATAGGGGATGGCCACAGGCAAAATAGTTACTCACTTTCTGTAATAAAAACAACTATGTCTTTACCTTTCAAAGAGTTTTTAAAAAAATGCACGAGGGTTTTGTTTTGTTTGAGGTAAAAATCAAAGCGTTAACAGGTCATGCTCAGGGTTCCTTTCTGTGTGTGGCGTGCACAGACCCTAGGAATGCCCCTTCCTCTCATGCATGGAAGGTGCAGACCTGGGGAGGGCAGAAAGGTGACAGAGAATCGATTCATTCAGTAAATACATATTGAGGGCCCACTATCATTGGGCATTCTGCTAGAGGGTGGGGACCCTCTCTTCCTAGAACTTGCATTCTAATGTGGAGGAGGTAGGTAGTGAATACATAAACAATCATATAAACATAGCAATTATAGAATGTGCTAATTCCCATGATGCTCACAACAGCATGGGAGTTGGGCCCTTTTTAGTACAGACCATCAAAGAAAGGTGTCTGGGAGGGCAGACACCTAAGTGCATTTTAGAAGGCCACAGCTGGCCTCTCTGCTGGCTGCCAAGACCATAAATATGAGGCACTTACTGTACTTGATGGCTGAGTGTGTGCCATCTGCACCCATGAATTAGAGACAAGGCTGTGGAAACCTGGAGGGGACTGAGAGTTGGTGACTCTCTGAACAGGAACAGAAAAACACAGCATACTTAATTTATTAAACGAATAGATTTTTCCTTGGTCATTTAATATTTATCAGCATTGTGTTTTATTAATTTCTTTTTAATGCAAAGATGGCCTGCAGAACACTTAAATGTAATATGGACAAGATCATTGTCCTTTGCTATTTCATAAAAAATTGTTTTCACAACTGTGTATGGTTCTCATCAACCATGTAAGAAAGTGCATCCATAATAAAATTCCTTCTATTATTTCCTCATAATTGTTAAAGACACCATGATTTGGGGAAGAGAATTAAACTTCACAAAAATAAGTTTCATTTTCAAAATCTCTACATAAGGCACTTACTTGTATTAGAGTGAAGAGAGAACATGGTTTTCAAGTAACATGACTTTTGTCAATAGAATTTTCCAGTTTACATCCTTTCTTTTGTTTTTTAAAGCCTGCTTAAATAAAAATACCTGAAAGATATATGCACACAAAACCAACTCAGATTTACAGCAGAAATAATAGACTTCAATCTCTTTCAAGCAAGTATAACTCACCCATCCATGTAACCATCCATTCAGTATTTATGGAGTCTACAAAACTAATAGGTAAAATATGCTGTAGTTAAAACATGTATTAGAGTATTATGATCTTGCTGGCCTCTTGGCTGGGTGCATTGTTCGTGATTCAGTTTTTTTCTGTAGCAATTCTCTGAAGGGCATGTAAGTAGCCAAATATGGCTAAAAAAAAAAAGAAAGCAAAAGTGTGAGTTGCTCAGTTGTGTCCAACTCTTTACGACCCCATGGGCTATAGCCTGCCAGGCTCCTCTGTCCATGGAATTCTCCAGGCAAGAATACTGGAGTGGGCTGCCATTCCCTTCTCCAGGGGATCTTCCCGACCCAGGGATCAAATCTGTGTCTCCTGCATTGCAGGCTGATTCTTTACCATCTGAGCCACTGAAATGTGGCTAGAGAGATTAAAATAAAGAGCAATTTTAAATTATCCTGTCAATGTGTTAAAAATTGACAGAATGAATTTAAAAATACAAGGGGTGGTTAACCTAGGCATTCCAAAAAAAAGGAAAAAACTATTATATCACCAAGGAAGTTCAGTAAGGTATCTGATTACAACATGAGAGATCACTAGTTTCTCTATGTATCAGTTTAAAAATATGGTAATTAAAAAGCATCTTGTTCAAAACAGCAAAAAAAACAGTACATATCTAAGTATAAACTTACCAAGAAATAAACAGGACATGAATTGAAGCAAACAAAATTTTAATGAGGAACATAAACACTTAAACAAAAGTAGACAAAACAGTTATTTTTTTATACAGGGCTCTTGAATTTAATAATTTTTCAAAGTAATGCAAGAGCATCAGTCAAGAGAATGTATTTTTTAAAAGGCATAATTTGGTTTAATTTACTGTAATTGATTTCCAAGTGTGTTTTTAAAAGCAGTCTACAAAGATTTCTTTTTTGTCTTGCTTTATGAGAAATAAGGGCTTCCCTAACAGTTTAGTTGGCAAAGAATTTGCCTGCAATGCAGGAGACTCAGGTTCAATTCCTGGATTGGGAAGATCCCCTGGAGAAGGAAAAGGCTACCCACTCCAGTATTCTGGCCTAGAGAATTCCATGGGTCCACAGGTTGCAAAGAGTCATTATAGATAACACTGTATCATGAAGATTTGAGGGGATTCCCTGGTGGCTCAGAGAGTAAGGAGTCTGCCTGCAATGTGGGAGACCTGAGTTGAAAAACATTGATCAGCAGATTGCATCTTTGAAAAGGGAGGTCAAATCACTCACTTTTTTGTGAGAAATAAATAAAAATTACTCAATTATTGACTTTTCTTGCTTTATTCATTTTCAGTACTTCACCTTTATTCATAAATATTCATGAAAAATAAAGTTAATATTGAATAATTTTAATACATATAACTTTTAAAAATTATTTTTCATTTTATATTGGACTATAGTTGATTAACAGTGTTAGTTTCAGGTATATAGCAAAGTGATTCAGTTATACATGTGAATGTATCTATTGTTTTTCAAATTCTTTCCCCATTTAGGTTATTACAGAATACTGAGCAGAGTCCCCTGTGCTATACAATAAATTCTTGTTGGTTATCTATTTTAAATATAGCAGTGTTTATATGTCAGTCCCAAACTCTTTATTTATCCCTCCCTCCAACATTCCCCCTTTGGTAATCATAAATCATTCTGTAAGTCTGTGAGTCTGTTTCTGTTTTGTAAATAAGTTCATTTGTATCTTTTTTTTTTTAGATTCCACATGTAAGCAATATCAGATGGCATCTATCTTTCACTCAGAATAACAATCTCTAGGCCCATCTATGTTGCTGGAAATAGTGTTACAGTAGGTCCCCCACCTGGGCTTCCCTGGTGGCTCAGCTGACAAAGAATCCACCTGCGATGTGGGAGAGCTAGAGGAGGGAATGGCTACCCACTCCAGTGTTCTGGTCTGGAGAACTGCATGGACTCTCTAGTCCATGGGGTCACAAAGAGTTGGACGCAACTGAGGGACTTTCACTTTCCCCTACCTACGAGTGAGTTCCACTCCAAGAGTGCATTTGTAAGTCCAATTTGTTCGAAAGTTCAACAAAGACAGCCTAGGTACCCAACTAACACAATCGGCTATATAGTACTGTACTGTAATGGGTTTATAATAATTTTCACACAAATAATACATACAAAACAAACACAAAAAAATTTTTTTTAATCTTAACAGTATAGCACCTTGAAAAGTATAGTAATATGGTACAACAGCTGGCATCCAGGGGCTGGCATCGAGTGAACAGGCAAGAAGAGTTATTAATTGGAAGAGAGGGAGAAGGTGGGAGATGGTAGAGCTGAAGAGTCGTCATCAATAGCAGATGGAGGGCAAGCGGCAATGTCACTCACGCCTGATGATGATCGCACAGGTTCTGGTTCCTTGCTGGATTCAATTCTACATGTCCTCTTGAAGAAACAACCAATGATGTCTGGGTAGTAGCTCTTCTTTTCCTGCCATGGATGACATGACAGCACTGGACTGCATCCTCAGTCTCTTTGATTCTTCGATTACTTCTTCCTTGTGCCTCTCTCTGTCCTTTCTCTGGGCTTCCACTGCCATCAGGGCTTCATTAGGAAGCTCCTCGTTTGGCACAGCAAAAGTACTGTAAAGTACACAAAAGCACAACCACGTGTGGAGGATGCACACACGTGACAATGTATACCACTCCTCTGTCAGTGGACACTGAGGGCTGCTTCCGTGTCTTGGCTATTGTAGACAACACTGTGCAATGAACACGGGTGCATATATCCTTTCAAATCATTATTTTCTCTGGATATATGCCCAAGAGTGGGACTGATGTGTCATACAGCTTCCCTGGTGGCTCAGATGGTAAAGAATCCACCTACAGTGCGGAAGACGTGGGTTCAATCCCTGGGTTGGGAACATCCTCTGGAGGAGGGCGTGGCAACCCATTCCAGTATTCTTGCCTAGAGAATCCCATGGACAGAGGAGCCTGGTGGGCTACAGTCCATAGGGTCCCAAAGAGTCGGACATGACTGAGTGACTAAGCACAGCATGGTAGCTCTATTTTTCCGTTTTTAAGGGACCTCCATACTGTTCTCCATAGAGGCTGTACCAGTTTACATCCCCACTGACAGTGCAGGAGAGTTCCCATTTCTTTATACCCTCTCCAGCATTTATTGTTTGTAGATTTTTGATGATGGCCATTCTGACTGGTATAAGATAATATCTCATTGTAATTTTGATTTGCCTTTCTCTAGTAACTAGAAATGTTGAACATCTTTTCATATGCCTCTTGGCCATCTGTCTGTCTTCTTTGGAGAAAATTTAGGTCTTCTGAGCATTTTTTTTTTTTTGATTGGGTTGTTTTTTTCCTCCAAAGAACCAGCTTTTAGCTTCACTGATCTTTTCTGTTGTTTTGTCTCTATTTCACTTATTTCTGCTCTGATCTTTATGTTTTCTTTCCTTCTATTAACTTTGGGTTTTGTTCGTTCTTATTCCTCTAATTGCTTTAGATGTAAGGTTAGGTTGAGGAAAGAACCCCATTTTAAATATCTATGTGTGCATCCCAGTATCTAGAATATACCTTTCATGCAGTGTTATTTACTGAAATGAATTAATGGGTACTGTTGGATTATGTGGTTCCTTTTCACATTAAGGGGGATTGGAAAACTATAACATCCCAATCTCATCCTCGCTAATTAGATAAAAATTTGTGACTAATTATTTTTTGGCTAGAAAAACACCTCTGCCATTTACAGATCTGAGCCACCCCTATCAAGGGCAAGAGCAGCACATAAAGAGCACATCTTTCCAAGGGACAGATGACTGGAACCCTCCTAGGTGAGTAGGCAAGCAGGCAACATGGATGGCATGTGTGGAGCCATGGCATAGAGGGCCCCTCCACTTCCTTCTCTCTCATACACACACACATGCTGGTTCCAGTTCCTCTCTTATTCTCTCTTGAGTCCATTCAAATATGGCTTTCACTCCACCAAAACTATTCTCGTCAAGGTCATCAGTGACCTGCATGTTGCTAAACACAATAGTCAACCCTCAGTTCTCACCTCACTTAACCTGCCAGAATCATTGCCCAGGTTGATCTCTCCCTGTTCCCTGAGGGCTTCATTTGACTCCAGGACACAGGTATTCTCCCCGTTTTTCTCCTGCCTCACTGGATGCTTTGTTTTCCTTTACTGGTTCTTCTACTTCTTGAGCTCTTAACATTGGGATGCCCTATGGCATAGTTTGTGGGCCTCTTTCTTTTTCTATCTACATTCCTTCTCTTGGTGTTCTTATTCATTCTGATGGCTTTCAGTGCTGTCTATCTGCAGACAAATTCCAAATTTTATCTCTGCAGCCAGATTTAGGGTCCAGCTGCCTACTCAGCATCTTATTCAGATGCTTAATAGACATCTCAGATTTAACATTCTAAAACTGAACCTCTCATCTTTCCCTCAAATCTGCCCTTCTCACAGTCTCTCCATTTCAGTACATGACAATCCTATTCTAGTAGTTTTTCAAACCAATAACCCAAGTGTCATCCTTCAGTCCGTGTGTCAGCAAATCTACTGACTGTACCGTCACAATCAATATATCTAGAATCTGATCCCTTGTCAACACTAACATGGCTCCTACTCTGAGAAAGTTACTTAACTCTTCTGTGTCTCTTTCCTTATCAGTAACTTAATAGGGAAAATGGACTACAGCTTATAGAGTTAATATGTGGGTTAAAGGAAACAGTAAAGAATTCAACACAGTGCTGAGCAAACAGGCAGTGCTTCATTAATGTTAGCTTTTTATTATTACTGGCCTTTCTTTTCTAGAGGGTTTCAAGGAAATTTGGTAAAATTGAAGTCATCAGCCCTTTTCATAATAACTGAACTTTATTTTTCAACACATGCAATTTTGATTTTTTTAAGATTTCAACTAAATGAGTTGAAGGAAAGAAAATGTGTTACTGTGCTGATGGCTTACCTTCTGAAAAAGATATAAACATTCTCCTTACCCAGAAGAACTGTCACAGTAAGAACCAAAAAGAGGGTTACAACAAACTGCTATTTGTAAAATAAATAAGATACAAGGGTTTAATCTACAGTACAGGGAACAGAGCCAATATTTTATACTAACTTTAAATGGAGTTTAGTCTATAAAAATGTTGAATCACTGTGTTGTACAGCTGAAACTAATATTGTGAAGCAACCATACTCCAGTAGTAACTGAAGAATTAAGTAGCAGAGCAGCAAGCTTCCCTGGTGGCTCAGTGGTAGAGAACCCACCTGCCAAGGCAGGAGACACAGGTTCAATCCCTGGCCCAGAAAGACCCCACGTGCTGCGGAGCAACTAAGCTTGAGTGTTCCCGCTATGGAACCCGTGCTCCAGAGCCACAGCTACTGAAGCCCGCGCATCCTGGAGCCCATGCTCTGCAACAAGAGGAGCCACTGCGGTGAGAGGCAGGCGCTCTGCAACTAGAGGGCAGCCCCCTTTCACTGCAACCGGAAACAAAGCCCCAGCAGCAATGAAGACCCAGTACAACCAGAGATAAAAATAAATAAAGAGCATAGGGCAATGTGAATCACTGGACTTCCTCTCCAGCCTGTGAAGAGTAATTTTCAGCTGATCACACAACTGTAGCTTAGAAAATATTTTTAATTCAAGGTTATTGAGGTTGTTACATACGATACTGCATAGCTATAGACACCACTAGTTTCACAACCTCAAAGACCTTTGGGGATACGAGGAAACTTAGTGTTTCTACAACAACTGGGATAACAGCTATCAACTGTACAAAAATGCTTACTATTAACCTGTACTCCCACTTAATTTTCATCCCAGCTAATTATTAATAGGTAGAAAGATTCTTGAATATCCTTAAAATATCTAAGGTGTCAGCAATATTACAGTAATCTTATTTTATATGAAGCATCACAGGTAAGTACCCAAATGTATATATTAGACAAAAAATATCACTAAATTAAGAAAAAATATTGTACTATATAAGCAAAGAAAATTTCAGAACATTGTCCCTTTAATGCAGATACTTTGCATTGTGATATGAAATGGCTTTTGAATAGATAAGATGTTTGTCTAATTTTGTTCAAATATTTACAGAAAAATCACATTTATTTTTTATTCTCTCTCATCCTGCATATATATATATATATATATATATATATATATATATTCAAAATGGTTTAAGAAAAGATGTTCATCTAATTTTGTTCAAATATTTACAGAAAAATCACATTCATTTTTTTATTCTTTCTCTCTCATCCTGCATATATAATCTACCATTTGCTGGGTAATAAGAAAAACCCATGGTGAATTGTTTTATTCTTTATAAAATAAATTTTTATGTTGTTGCATATAAGAGCTAAGTAATAATGACTTTGGATATTTTAAAAGGAGGGAAATTACTCCACAATGAAATCATCAGGAGTTGACTATGCTTAATTGATCATTAGCTCTTCTTTGCCCACATTTGATTATATGTTAAACTCTATGATATTTTGATACAAAATTTATATTATGTAAATAATCATACATATATATATGTATATGTGAGAGACTCAGGTTCCATCCCTGGGTTGGGAAGATCCCATGGAGGAGGGATGACTACCCAGTCCAGCATTCTTACTAGAAGAATTCCAAGGACAAAGGAGCCAAGCAGGCTACACTACAGTCCATGGGGTCACAAACAGTCAGACATAACTGAACAACTTTGAGAGAGAGATGTCATGTATATCTTTCATATTACATGCAAAAGTTGCTTATTAAACATAAACTCCCATTGTTACTCATTGTGGGATCATTTCAGCTAGTCCATATACACTAAAATGCTAATTTTTATTTATTTATTTTTTGTAGGAAGTCCTGGCTGAGCAAGATTGGAAGTCCTAGTTCTCGCATTGACCGCACGAACTTTTCCAATGAAAAAACCATCTCTAAACTTGAATACTCTAATTTTAGTATTCGATACTAATAGGAGAGAAATTAAAATTGTAATGCTTATACTGTACAATAGAATAGACTGTATTCTTAAATCTGTATACTAGTGACAGTAGTAGAATAGGGTAAAAAAAGAAACTTTCTGTTCCAAAAGCTGCAACATTACGTTACTAAAAATGGTTGACACTGAAATAGTTTTACTCAACAATGTTTTTAACAAGCCAAATTTAGCATTCTAAAATTTTAAATGTCATTACAAAATGTTTAATATGAATATTTTATTTAAACTCGTCTCATGGAATCTTTAATTCTAATGAATATTATGACATACATGTTATTTGGCTGGACATAAAATAATAAGTTAACCACTTAAAAATTATTTTTGGGTATTATCTGAATTGAGTTCTAAAATCTCTGAATAATAATTTGTTGTTAAAGTTGAGTACTTCGTTTAACAATAGCAAAATAACCAGTAGTTTGATATAAATGTATATGATGATCAGCATAGCCTTAAAATCAATAAAGAGTTAACTTTAAACTCTGATTGAATGAGAACGTGATTCAGTACTTCTATTGGAGCTACTTAATGCTTTCTAGGAACCATATTCTTCTGTATGGTGAACAGAGGAGTGAAGAAATGACAATGGTAGTATATAGCAAGCAGCAAGGTTTATATTTGCAACTACCCATAATGGATGTCCTATGAACCAGAAAAGGAACTGAGAGTCTAAATAAATCACACTGTCCCCCAAATTTGGGGACTTCCCAGGTGGCACTAGTGGTAAAGAAACCACCTGCCAAAGCAGGAGACTTAAAGAAATGTGGGTTCGATCCCCGAGTTGGGAAAATCCCCTGGAGGAGGGAGGGCATGGCAACCCACTCCAGTATTCTTGCCTGGAGAGTCCCATGGACAGAGGAGCCTGGTGGGCTACAATCCATAGGGTCACACAGAGCTGGACACCACTAAAGCGATTTAGCACAGCACAGCCCCGCCCTGAAATTTGGCCTGTCATCTGGGGATTCTCAACATGCAGATAATAATTAAGTGACATAGTATTTTAAGGGAAAGTTTTCTTTCTTTTTTTGGGTGGGGGGGAAATTTTATTTCTACACCACAGAATTATACTCTGGAGAAATGGAGACCTTTAACTCAAATATTGGGGAATTTCAAATATATTTCAAATGTATGTAGGTACAATACATACTTACAGAGGGCTTCCCTAGTGGCTCAGATGGTGAAGAATCTGCCTGCAGTGCAGGAGACCTGGTTCAATCCCTGGGTAAGGAAGATCCCCTGGAGAAGGGCACGGCTACCCACTCCAGCATTCTTGCTTGGAGAAAGACAGAGCAGCCTGACGGGCTACAGCCCATGCGGTCACAGAGTCTGACACGACTGAGCGATTAACACACATATTCACATATCCCTTCAGTGATTTCCAAATTTTTGTAACAATGGAATCCACTAAACCAATTTACATGGAATTAAAGCAAGTGGAAAAGGCAACCATTATGACTGAAAATGGGGTTCTGTGGAGCCCTGAACGCTTGGTCTCACTTTCCTTCCGGGATCTTGTCCTCTGCAATTGTGCAATAATTTCAAATGCCTTGGGAATACCGGCTAGAAGCCATCTTTCTATCTGTGGAGCACAACTCCATTGCTACTACTCCATGGCATAGAGAAAGAATTCAGGCCACTCTTCTCCATCTGCTGCAAGATTATAATTAAGGAGATGAAGCATGGGCTGCCTTTTTTCATTCACAATGATTAACTTGATAATACTGATATCAAATGTATATAAGAGAACACAGCATTAAAGAATGACAAAGATTTTTTTTTTAACTTTCCAAACACCCTTAAAGGAATAAAGAGCTTTCCTATTGTTTTAATATCCTCATCATGTAAAGACAACTCTGTTGTGTTATACATTTGGGTTTTGCTCTCCTATTTCCTTACTCCTGGTTCAAGCAAGGTAGACGAGTCTTTGAGTTCCTTTGTCTCAAGATGGGTTTTGGTGCCAGATCCCCTGAAGACAACTTTTCTTCCAAGGTTTCATTTTAAAGGTGGCATTATGTTGTGAGTTGAGGAAAAAGACAAACACTACCCCTTTAGCAGGTACAAGAGAAGCAGAAGTGGCAAAAGTGAAGGGGACAAGGAGATGGTCCAAGACTTTAAAGGCAATGGATTTCCCAAGAGATGGAGACCTTCCCCTTTCTCCCCAATAGCACCTCTGCGGGGATGGCCAAAACAGAGAAGGGAATAGCTATGGTCCACCCAGAAAAGCTGGATGCAAGGTGCAGGGGCTCTCAGCCCTAGCAAGATTGCTACCCCACAGGTGCTGCAAGACATCCTGGCTACAAGTGAACATGGTGGCCTGGAAAGCAGTCATGGTAACTGGTATGGACAAAAGGCCAGAGAAGTCTTTCCTCAACGTTCTGTTTACCTTAGACTCTATATTACATGATCCTTTTGAGGATGAAAGATTCAACTTCCCACCTCCCAGCCAGGCTGAGGCTTGAAGCAGGCTCAATTTGACTTGGAGAAAGTAAAACAGACATTTCTTACAGTCAAGTTGAAAATAAAATCTGTATCTCTTTACACATAGAAAGGCTAAATGCTTTTAGAAAAATGCAATCTCAAAAGTGACACCAATATGTCACTTTTTATTACCCTGATTTCCTCTGGTAGTTCCCTTCCCTGCTCTCTTCATAAGAAAATCACACTCTGCTAGCACAATCTTCTGACTGCACAAAGTGAATCACATTAGTCAAGGCTACTTAATGATTAATACAGAACTAAGTTCTATTACTGAATGAAAAATGTTGTAGATAATGATTAAAAATGGGTGGTTATAAGTGGATAGAAAGAGAAAAAAGGTAAAGCAATTTTAAAAATGTGTTATCGAGACCAGACAGCACATTCTAACAGTGAAGTTAATGTGGCAATATTCATACTGAACTTATGCAGGGAGTTTTAAATGTACATATCATATTTTATCTTAATATATGATGTTACATAATTTATCATATTAAAGATACATTTTGTTTAATAACAAACCTTGATAGCTTTAATTTTTCCAAAAGTAGGCATTTAAAAAAAAAGACTAAAACAACTAAGCAAAAGATGGGTTTCTACTCCAATGACTGTTAGCTGGGAGTCTCTACACTCCACATGCCCACACCCTCCTCAAGAAGCAACACGCTGGAATTAGGGGAATATGATTTAAAGCAGGTAACTATGTTTCATATTTATATAAAAATGCCTTTTTAAAAAGCTAACCTGAAAAGTAAAGTTCTTGACTGGAAACTGAAAAGTGAAAGTCTCTCAGTCCTATCCGACTTTTTGCAACCCCAGGGACTATACAGGCCATTGATTTCTCCAGGCCAGAGTACTGGAGTGGGTAGCCTTTCCCTTCTCCAGGGGATCTTCCCAACCCAGGGATCGAACCCAGGTCTCCCGCATTGTGGGCAGATTCTTTACCAGCTGAGTAACCAGGGAAGATGCAAAAGATGGATCCTTTAGCAGGTTGGGTGCACAGAAGCAATAAGGGTGTCGTAGAAACGGGAGATTCTTCTATTAGGAAAGCTGTGGGCTTCTAAGCTTGAGAAAAAGCAATTCAAGTTTCATCAAAGACTGGGAATCTCTGAAGAAACATGTGCTTCAAAAGTAGGCACTGTGGTCACAAAGAGCAGAGAAGCACTGAAGGGGGCAACTAAGTGATGGGGGTGGATATGGCAACAACCCTCAGTAGTTTGACTTTGCTGGAAGGTGGTCACCATTTTTACAATGAAACATTTTCAACTCAATCAAAGGGATTTTTCAGAACCAAATGTCTCTAAACTCATAAAGACAACAAACAATCCACTTTTAAAAATTAGCTTGTATTTGGAAATATTTTTCATATAGTAGCTCTCCCTGGCCTCCATTAATACAGATATCAGAGCATATTCACTACTTGTTAAAAGGACAAGATTTTCATGTCTGGAACTCATTTCGGGAGCTGAAAATAGGCACCATGGTATGGTAGAGTATATTCTGGTCTAGGAATCAGGAGACCCGCATTCTGGGCTCAGCCCACCCAGGGATCAACTGTGTGCTTAGATGCCTTCAATCACGAAGTCAAGAAGTTGGACTGAACTGGGACTTCTCCCAGGATTCCCATTAAGACAGAGACCTCCCAGGAGGTGAAGGAAAGCTACTGAAGGGCAATGAGGAAGCTGGGCAGCTGAGAGCCCCAAGAAGAGCAGCCCTACTCTCCTTTCTTTCCTATATTAGGATTCTCCAGAAGACATAGTTTGAGATGAATTCTGCCTCAAACAAAGAAACAACAAAGACACTAAATCTAGTATCTTGGGTCTTTTCTAAATTTTTATAAGTGCTAAACTCAAATGCATTGCCCATTCTCTTGATCACTCTTGTCAAGTCAGTGTGATAGGTATACTTGACCTGCAGACATTTTTACTACTGTGACGAGTGAGTACTGGAAATAAATTTTTAATTTTCATAGTGGCCTCCATAAGGTCCACAATAGTTAAAATATTTCTGAAATTAATGTTCTGTTGTTCTGTTGTCTTTTCTATTTTGATGTTACCAAAATAAAAAAATATGCAAGAGGAAATACAAAAATATAATTAGTGGGTTAATGTACTTTATACGGATATCTTGGAGATGTCAACCTAACATTCAGGATTATGTGCAAAAGGTAATTTTCCTTTTCTTAACAGGTTCAAGTGGTCTTGAATAAAACCAAAGTCTTATAAAAATTTAAAATTTTAGCATTAAAAAGTCTAATTGCTCTGTGATCTCACTAGCAGATTTTTCTATAAGGTGGGTTCCTGCCCCTTCTAGAGAGCAAGACTTATGACTTCTCCTCTGCTGAAAGGAGGGTAAACTTTCTTGGTTGAATGCCCAAGATAATTATTTCATCCTCAAACTACATTTTTCTTTCATTAGTTTTATTTTCCATGTTGCCACAATGAATTATGCAAGAATCAGTGAATACAAGTTTCTAATTGTGGCATCTTTTTGTTTTTCCTTCTATTTTTTTTTAAATACTAGAAGACACATAAAGAAGGAAAAGATGCAAGAAATTCATCATATTGGAAAGGGAGTGTCTGTTTCAAAACAATTCTAAACAGCAAGGATCAGAGTCAGTCATTCGATCATTTGCATTAAGGCAGAATTTTCACTGAATTCAGTGCATATGAATCTGGATTAAGAAGAACATGCCTACAATATTTAGCCAGGAAATTGGTATAAAGTTGTAGATGGTATGTACAATTATTTCCAAGATGCAACATCTACACCAATCAGAAAAAGATGACACAGAAATCCTTCTGCTCAGGTATTATTTTCCAGGGTAGCAAAAAAAGAATCTACCCTTCTCTTCCTTTTCTCATCCCAACTACTATTCCTTCTCCATTATTTAGGATAACAAAACTAAATCATAGCACACACGGGAGAGAAGGAAGAGGTAGTAGCTGACTGGGTAGTCCCTTGACTTAAAGCAGGGAAGCCAAGGAAAGGTAACCTTACAAGGGCTCCTT